ACAAGCACTGCTCTCCCATGAGGTGTGCAGGACAGTTTTACAGGGGGACTGCAACTTAACAGAGATAAAGGCAGTTCATGCCAGGGAGAAAGAGAGAAATCACGCCCCCCTTCGGGGAAAAAATAGCATTGTTTATCCTCCAGCGCAGCCAGGGACCCAGACACGGGCATGGGCATATCATCAAATAGAGGGAAAGGAAATGAAACAGAAGGAAAGAAAATAAAAATGAGAAAAGTAGAATAAAACACAATAGAGCAAAATAAAATAAAATAAAGCAAAATAAAATAAAGCAACTCAAAATTTTTAAAAAATCAGCTTTCTCTTCATATTTGGGTTTAAAAATAAAATTAAAAAATAGATAATGAAGCTATTTGGATAATTTTCAGCGTCCTTCCCTGTGGGTTGGCTGGCGCAACACCTGCAGCAGGGCTGGAGGGATGGAGTACAGAGAGTTTGGAGGATTTACAGATGAAATTGGAGCTTTGGCAGTTGCAAAACAATTAGTAACGGTAGAATAGAGGTACAAAGTGGTGTAGACAATTAGCAGGTTGTATTTGGAACCTCCACTGTCTGCTCTAGGGGATCTTGGCAGGGGAAGAGGGATTTGGACCCAGCAGGGAGGCACCAAAATTCAATTCAGGGCTCTGTCCATCTGCAACCAAAACCAAATAATTTATGTTCAGACCCCCTTTTTGCTGCTTTAATTTGCCCAAACCCATTTATTGTTTAACAAGGCACAGCCTGGTCCTGGACAGGAATGAGTCCAAGGCAGGTTTGGGCTGGCAGAGCTCAGCTGGAGCAACTGGCCTCCAGGAAGGAATCAATAATAATTAATAATAATTTTAAACTGTTGCTTTTCAGTAGCAATGAGGAAGGGTAATGCTGCATCCTAAAAGCATCCCTCTGCCAAGAACGGGGTGTAGGGATGCTTGAACCCCAAGTTGGGCTGGTGCTGTTAGAAGTAAAGACCTCATCCAAGGAAAATCAAACACTGGCTTTCCTCCCCACTTGCTCCTGGAAACAGGATGTGAGAGAGGGGTGGCCATGGTAGAAACCCCTTCCGTGTGGCACACCCCTGTGGGATTGGCCAATTGGCTCTGTGCCCCTTTGCCACTGGCATCAGCCTCCCTGCATCATCCCCACAGAATGCCTGTGATAGACAGAGATGGCATGGCCACAATGTGGGGCTGGGGGTACCGCCCCACCCAGCTGAGGAGAACACAGCAGTGATGGATATGAGAGGTGTGACACTTAAAACCTCCACTTTAGAGGCTGGCACTGAAAATGGTGCTGAAACCTGGAAGAAGGAGAAAGGTCTCACGGGGCATTCAGGGTCCAAGCAGGGTGGGAACACCAGGGTCTTGCCTCTTTTTGGGAGGGAAGGGAGGCACTGGGCAGCAGGAGCGTAGGGTGAGGGCTCAGACATACTCCCGGGCTGTGGAGGGCCGTGACTGCTGATGGTACTGCTGTCCTCGGCGCTCCTTGGCAGGGCAGGAACAGCACAGGAGGGACCCCCCCAACATGGAGAGGCTGGCAGCCCCCCAGCCCACGAAGAGAGCAGAGCCGAATTCGTACCTGTGATGAAAGGGGTAAGGGAGCATCAGGGAGGGGCAGAGAGGCACAGGTGCAAACTGAGATGGGCAACAGGATGCTTGAAGCTCTGATTAGGTGATCAAGGTGATGTCAAGGCAGATTTTAGTTCTTCCCTCTCCATCCTCATCTTTCCTGTTGGCTGTATCCAGCTACCACATGTCCCCAGCTTATAATCCTCCCCTGGGCTGAAATTCCACATGTGCACCACTACCCAGTCCCAGCTAGTAACAGCTAAAGCTTTAGCATCAGGGACATCTTCTGCAAGGTGCCAGTGAGGGCTGGCAGAGGTCCCACCCGTGGGGCACATTGGCCCACAATGCTGTACCTCACCAAAACCAGAAAGGAAAGGTCCAATGGGAAGTGCAGGGACAAGACAGGATTCAGAAGGGCACCCCCTGAGCCAGGCTCTTACCTAGCGTTGATGGGGATGGTGCTCTCTCTGAAGAACTCATAGGTCACCTGTGTTGCATACAACGACACGGCAGCCAGTGTGCACAGACCTGGGCACAGAATCGTGGAATCACAGAATGTTTTGGGTTGGAAGGGACCTTTAAAGATCACCTAGTTCAAAGCCCCTGCAGTGAGATGGTTGCCTAGCTGTTCCACTAGACATCAAATGTTGGCTGTCAGTGACATCCAGCCCTCACCAAACTGCTCCCCTTCCTCTATCAGTGTTGAAAGGTGTTTGAGGATTCCTGCACCAGTGATGTATGAAGGCTAGAGCTGCCTTACCAGAGAGAATGAAGAGAACACCTCCAGCAACAGCTATGCGGCTTTTGGTGACAGGATCCTCCTCCCCAACTTTAGTGCATTTCATGCCCACCACGCTCACGATGATGCCAAAGAAGCCCAGGAGGAGAGAAATGACCATGAGAGCCCGGCATGTCTGGATGTGAACTGCAAGAGGGGAAGAAAAACTGCTCCCAGCAGGTGCCTTTGACCACAGCTGGGCACTGGAAGCAAGGTCACTGTGTCCCATGCTGGTGATGGATCTGTCCTTAACCCTGTCCTTGCTGTGTAGCTGCCATGTCATATCCTCCCCATTTGGTAGATATGGGGACCTCAGCTCTGCTCAAGGCACTGCTCCCAATGCCTTCCCTGACCTTCCTCCCTTCCACCCTCATCCTGGTCATGACTGTGCGGGGCTAGGAAACACCTTGCCAGGAGTGGCACCACAGTCACCAAATGCCAAAAGGGTGATGCACGTCATGGAGCAGGGGCGGGGGGAGTGTTTGATGTCCCCATGGGGTACTGTTGGTATCTAAATGTGATGCCCACATTGGAGCTCAAACCTGCTGGGGCCAGGAGCATCCCAGCCACACAAATGGGCTCAAACCCACAGGGTCAAGAGAGGCTCAGTCCTGGGATGGGGGCCCAAGATTCACGGATAGAGAGGGAAGCTTGGACCCACATCAAGGCTCAGTTCAGTGGATGAGTGGACTCAGACCCTTCTGAGGGGGGGTCAGATCTACAATAGGGGTGGAGTCAAGAAGGACTTGGACCTGAAGGTGACTCAGGCTCCAGGAAGAGCCAGGGGAGCTCAGATGCATAGGGGAAGGAGGCATCCAGACATGAAGAGGATACAGACCTGTTCAGGATGTGTATTCAAACTCATAGAGGTAGGTTCAAACACAGAGAAGGGCTCAGAGCCATATGGGGAGGGTCAAACCCACAGCGGGACTCAGACTTACAAAGGGGCAAGGGCATCTCAGGATCCCAGGGGAGCTCAGACCAAGGAGGAGACGGGGAGGGGCGGACTGCATCCAGGAAAGGAAGCGGGGCTCATCCTACGAGGCCCCGGGCCCCCGTACCCACCTTCGAGGGAGAGCAGCGAGTCGTGCAGGCGGCACTGCACCTGCCCGGTGCTCTGGGCGGCGCAACTCATCCACAGCCCCTCGTGGAGCCCCACGGCCGTGATGATGGCGTCCCCGGCGTACGAGCTCTGCCGCCACTGCGGCAACACGGCTACTGCCAGCCCCGCCACCCAGCCGGCCAGCGCCGCCAGGTACCCGGCCAGCTCCCGCGCCCCGCCGCCCATCGCCGCCGCCGCCGCCGCGTCCAGGCCCGCCCCGGCGGACGGAGACGGCCGTGGGAGGAGGGACAAGGCCGGAGGGGGGGCTCTGAGGGGGAAGACGGGTCGGGGCGGGGGGAGGAGGGCAATGTCGGGGGAGGATTTAAGGTGAAGGGAGAGACATGGGTCTTGTGCGGGGAGATTTAGGTCCCAGAGGGGATTTTTTGAGTCTCGAGTGGGAGAGTTGGGGCCAAAGGGGTGGGTTACCTGGAGCTTAGGGGGAATTGGGTACCGGGAAGCGGCAATTAGAGGCCTGGGGGGGGGGGGGGGGGGGGGGGGGGCACTGGGGCCCAGGGAAGAGCATTAGGTCTGAGGGGGAGAGATTTGAATCTGAGGAGAGTGATTTGGGGTTGGAGGCAAGGGATTTGAATTCTAGAGGGAAGAATGTGGTCTTAAGGGAAAGATTTGGGGCATGGAAGGAATTTGGGTCCTACAAGAGATTTGGGTCTTGAGAGAGATGGAAACCACTCAACGACAGTGGGGGGATATGTGAAAATGGGGCTCCCCGACAGGAGGAGGGAGTGGGTTAGTGGGAAGTTACCATCCTTGACCCCCTGCCGTGGACTGGGAGCCCCCAGAGGCCCCAGGGGTCACTCCAGGAATTCAGCAGGGAGCAGGGAAACAGTTCATTCAGTGAGGGAATTCAGACACACCATGCCACCATGGCACCAACAAGAGAAGCCACTGTCAGTGGTGTATACCTGCGGGGGTGTGGGGAACATGTGTCACCACCCTGGTGACACCAAGCACATTGCTGCCCCAGGACCTGGCAATCGTTAACTGCCATGGCCTCATCAGCAGTCTGCTCACGAACTCAGGCAGCTGGGGGTGGACACTGGGATGGTGGGCAGCCTCCACTGGGACTGTATGTTCATCCTGGAGAAAACATCCTCCAGATCCCCCCTTGCCCACCCCAATGCTGAATGGCCCTCCAAGTGAAATAGGGGTGCTGGGTGGCTGCACATGGGGCAGGATTTATTTGCCCACATTCCCGGGATGGTTATGGTAATGGCCAGACATATGTAGGAACAATTCAATGCCCTGTCTGGGAGTGCCAGGGTGCTCAATGTCCTTCTTGTTCAAGGACAGTTCCCTCCTCACTGGAATGGTGGGTTCCTTCCCACGTTATGGGAGCGAGGTCCAGGGGATGCTCAGCCAGAGATTGCATTGCTGCTACTGCCCCTGGGACACTTTGTCTCCCATAAACACCTTTGTGAGGCTTACAGGGCTACAATACTCCTGGGTAGATGCTTGCCAGGAGGGAAGGTTGCACCCCAACACTGACAACAGCAAAAGGGTGACACCAGCCTTCAGGCCCCACCTGGAAAGCAACAGCTTAGAAAAAAAATACCTTTATTCACCCATTTTCTGCAGAAGGCACTTATATAACTCCAAGTTCAGGAAAGGCACACATTTGCACCCATTGGCACCAGGGCCCCACCCCTAACAAAGCATCCCTCCCTTTTCCCCATGTCACCCACCCCTGAGCCTCCATCACACACCCCAGATCAGCTCCACAGGGGAACACTGGATGCTGCAGGGGTAGTACACAGCATTCCCCAAAACCCCACTCCAACTGGGTTGGGGACAGAGGGGATCCTGTATGTTACCCTTATGACTATGCAGCCTGAACCCACAATGCTGACATGACTAGTCCCAGCAGAGATGTCCTGGTCCCCGTAGGATGTCACAGCTCATCCTTCCCGACCACAATGGCAGCTGGTGATTCCTTCTCTGGCTCTGGCTCCAAATCCCCCTCTTCCATGCTGAAAAGCATCTTCACCAGGTCATCTGCCTGCACACGCTCCTGTGGGCAGACCCATAGTGGTAAGCATAGCCACTGTCCCACCCAAAACCCCTACGCACTGCTGGGAGGGAGCTTACCCGCTCACTGTGCCGAGGGTCCAGGGTGAACCAGAGGGCAATAGCGCAGCGCTGACCCTTGGTCACAGCTTTCACCCCGTGGGGGTTCTCTGAGCCAGAGGAGAAGCCCACAGCACGGCCACACTGCGGCTGGACCTCTGCCTGTCAAGGGTGGGAGACCAGAAGACCCCAGTCAGGGGTGAGTTGGTTCCCCTCAGTCCAAGTTCATCTTTTGCAGTGGCTCAGGGGATGTTCCCAGGGCAGAGGGCCAACAGGCAGGAGCTAGATTTGGTGCTGCACATGGATCCTTGGAGCTGAGCTACTCACGGTCTCAGTCTTGGCATCCAGCTCGGTGAAGTAGAAAGCTCCTCCTTCAAAGTCCCCATTGAGGTAGAGGATTGCACTAATGGGAGCAGGGGACAAGTGGAGGTGACAAGTAACCATCACCAGAGCTCTCCAACACCATGGCAAGAGCCAGAGGCAAGAAAGCCCAGGTTTGGTGTACCTCCTACCTTGCTCCTCCCAACTCAGGTGCCACCAAATCATGGTACCCTTAGCTGACAGCCACCACCAGTACCTGTAATCCCGGAAAGTGTAGGCTGGGGGTTCCTTCACGCACAACAGTGCCTCTGCATTGAGAATGCAGTTGTCCACATGCACCTCATGGCTGTTGTCACTCCGGCCTTCTTGCTTCTCTAGGGTAGAACAGGGCATGTCAGGAGCCCTCTGTGCAAGAACAGGGTCCATCCCCAAGTATCCCGTGCTTGCAGGTGACAAGAAAATCATGCATTAGCCTAAAGCACTTCCACTTGCTGGAGTGTGGACTGTGCAAGGCCATTTGGGTGGCATAAAACGCTGTTCACTTGTCCCATGGCATTTCCATGGCCCTCCAGGTAAAACCTCCCTCAGCGCCCATCCCAAAATGCCTCAGAATGATGAAATCCTGTATGGCATGAGGCCATCTGCCCTGTTAGAGGCAACAAGCAGAGCTGCTGCTCATCTTCCCAAACTGGGCTTAGGGACAAGCTTCCTACACCCTCCTGGGAAGGAGTGGGTTAGGGAGCAGCAAGGAGGTCTCCAAAGAAAGGTCCAAGACTACACCACTCCAGCTGTTAGAGGAGATCCAGACAGGAAAAGACAAAAGACTTGTTCCTCTGGGCCACACTCACCATCAATGGCTGTGCGGCACACTAGGTGGGAGTAGGAGAAGTGGAGTGGGACCTCCAGGCGGAAGTAGGACTCAATCATGTGCCGCACCTTCTCTGTCACGTTGTAGTACAAGTAGGCACTGTGCAGGGGCACCTTCCCCTCCTGCCCCAGCTGTGGAGGACAGACAGGACAGGGGCTCAGCCCCATATGGGCATGGGCAACCATCTCCCCCAAAACTACCCTCCCTTGTCCCCACAGCCTGTTTCTCCACACAGCCACCCCAACCTTGAGGGCCTTGAGGACAGTCACGCCATAGAAGGTCTCACTGGGAGTGTGAGGAGAGGTCTTCCCCCGATAGCCATCTCCAGCCGAGGCAGCTGCCTGTAAAACCCGATTTGTGTTACTGGTCTGATGTGTGAGCTGCAGGATGGGACCCCTTGGCATCCTCTATCCATCCCTGCCTTCTCCACCTGTTCTTGCACTCACGTTAGTGAGTCTCTGCAGTTCTCGGCACTCTTCAGCAGAAAGGACTCCATCCACCACGACACGCTGGGAACCATTCAGGGCTTTGGAGTTCATGGTGACACTGGCTCCTTCGTAGACCAAAGGGCCACCTGTGGCACAAATGGGATTGGTGGATGTGGGGAGAGATGCCACCAGCTCTGGTGTGGCTGGGGGAAGCTGTGGTCCCTCCACCTGCTCCTGCTGCCACCCATGTGTAGAGGGACTGTGAACTGGCAGCAGGGGTCACAAAGGTCTCCATCTCCATCCCACCTCCCCTCCAGGCCTTCTCCACCTTCTCGGATGAACTTGCTCATGTCGGCAGACTCTTTGGCCTTCTCCTCCACCAGTGTCTCAATCTCCTTCATGAGGTTGCCGATTTCCTCAGAGATGCGTGCTGCAGTCTCCCGCTCCACCCTGGGCATGCGGCAGCCATCAGCACCACCACCCCACTGTCCCCACATCAGAAATGAGGGCCACTAAGACAAGGGCAGGACAAGCTGTCTCAGGTGCTGGTAACAAAGCTCGCACCTAGACTGGAGAGTCACCTCAATGCATCCCTCACTCTGAGGTGTTTGGGGTGACCTACACATGCCCATCATCTCATGGGCTGATGGGAAATAAAGTTCTGCCCTCCAGCAGCCTCTTCCAGTCCCAGCATCAGAACATCCCCTGGCAGGAGCTCTATGCCATGTCCTTTGGCCCAAAGCCCACACTGGAAGAAAGGTTTGTCCTGTCAGACCCCCATTGGGTGAGCTTGGCTGGGAACAGCACTCACTTCTGTTTCTCTCGCAGTCTTTTTGGTATCACCTCTTCAGGTGTCCATGTGTCCTGCCACCAGAAGAACAACATCAGGAGCTGGACAAAGATCTGGCCAGGACACAGACCCCTCGTCTGCATTCCATCTGGCCACTGCATCACCCTGGTCTCACATCACCCACCGGGTCCACAAAAGGGATGCCAAAGATGTCATAGCTGAAGAAGAGCAGCTCCTTCTCCATCAGACTCTGCTGGTAATATACCTGGATCTCCTGTGGCAAGGGGCAGAGGGATGGGGTGAGGTACAGCAGGAGGATTCTGAAAAACCCCAAGTGTGGGCAGGAAGATGCAGGTCTACACCATTCCTGTGGTCCTTGCACCAGACCCACAGCCTTGTTTCCTGCTCCATCTGGCAGCTGGGAAGCAAGTGGCATTCCCCATTCTGTCTGAACTTCCCAGTGGACAAGCCCTGGGGAGATGACATTTGAGCAGAGGCACATGTGTGTCCCTTCTGCAGGAAGCTCTTTAGGAGCAGTTTCCCTTCCCGTACTCCAACTGGTGTGGGGCAGGGACTCCCATCCATGGGAGTCTCACATCCCAGGCAGGACCTAGCCATCCAGATTCGGCTATTTTGAAGTCAAATTCTCTCCTTTTTAAGCAATTTCGCTTCAGCTGTGGAAAAGTGCAATAGAGGTAGCCTCAGATCCTCCTAAAAAGATTGTCCACCTGCCTCTCACAGCCCCCTCTATCAAGAAAGGGTAGTGTGCCTGTCATCCAGCTTCACTTGGCCTAAGACATTTTGCCAGTGATGTTTTTCAGCTACTTTCCAGCTTGTCTGACCTTAAATCCACCCATTCCTGTCCACCTTCGGTAGCTGGTATGGAGGAGACCCTACTACAGCTTCTGCAAAGGTCCCCAGTGAGAAGAGAAGATGCCCCTGCAATCATTCGTCCTTCTGACTGCTCACCTTTCGCGGTTGGATGGGTCTGGCCAGGTTTTCCCCCAGGACGGCAGTGTAATAGGCCAAATTTTGGTTCATCACCTCGTCATGTGGGAAGAAGAGCAAATAGGTTTTGGCACATTCAATGGCTTTTTCATAATTCCCATCTGCAACGAGAAATGGGCTGTTAATGGCATGTCCGGGGACACTGGAGGCAGAACAAAGACAGATATGGAGGAGAGATGAAAGACATGGTCCTTTTGTTCCAAACTGTGTCACGAGTAGGGCAGATCCCCTGGGGCAAGGATAACTGCTGCTACAAAGGCAAAATTCAGATTCTGTGGTGCTCTCCTCTCCCCAGAAACCATCACAACAGAAACCAGGGGTACTTGTACAGCTTGGGTGCTTTTCTCACTTGGAAAACATGACAAAGCCTATTTAGAGGTAGCCAGACCCAACCATTTACTGGCAAACCTGCAGTTTCCAGCCACTGAAACATCCTACCGCACTTTCATGTGGTCTTTCACAGAATCAAAAAATCACAGAATGAGTCAGATTGGAAGGGACCACAGTGGGTCATCTGGCCCAACCTCTCTGCTCAAGCAGGGTCCTCCGAGAGCATACAGCTCAGGACTGTGTCCAGATTGCCCGGAATATCCCCAGTGAGGGAGATGTAACACCCTCTCTGGACAATCTCTTCAGTGCTCAGTCGCTGCAAACATCCTCATATCCAGATGGAACTTCCTAGCCATGAGTTTCTGCCTCTTGTCCTATAGCTCAGCACCACAGAGCAGAGCCTGATCACATCCTCCAGCGCTACCCTGCAGATACTGACAAACATTTATGAGGTCCCCTCACAGCTGTCTCTTCTTGAGGATTTCTATCCTCTTGGACTTAATATTTTTTCTCCTCCTTTTGGAGAAATTCACACAGAAACATCTTATACTTTTCTAAAGAAATAAATAAAAAATTAAATCAAATCAGGTGTATTTTCCTGGGTTGTAACTCTTCTGCGTTGGGAGTGTGCTGCTGTGATTTGAGGCAAGAGGTGGACAGCTGGCAAGGAGGAAAAAAAATGCTTCTCTCAGCTGTTGTTTCACTTGAAAAGTGAAGCTGCCCAGTAATAAAGCAACGTGGACAGGGACTGCAGCCAAGCACAGAGTGATCTAATCTCCTGGAAAATGTTTCAGGCAGGAGGAACATGCCTGTTGAACCTCATGAAGTACAAGGCCTAGTGGAAGGCTCTCCAGCAGTATCAGTGAAGATAGTGAAGATAGGGGGGATGGATGGGATTAGAGCACCCAGAGGAGAAGGATATGGAGATAATAGTGGATGAAAAATTGCACAGGACCCATCCATGTGCACTAGCAGCTCAGAACCCCCCCCCTCCCCAGGCTGATCCCTGGCAGCATGGGCAACAGTTGAGGGAAGGATTCTGCCCCTCTGCTCCACTCTGGTGACATGCCACTTGCAGTGCTGTGTCCAGCTCTGGGTTCCCCAGCATAAGGATATGGACTCATTAATGCGGGTCCAGAGGAGGCCACAAAACGGTCAGAGGACTGGAGCCTCTCTGTGAAGAAAGGCTGAGAGAATTTGGCTTGTTGAACCTGGACATGAGACGGCTCCTGAGACATCTTGATGGCCTTCCCATACCAAGAGTGGCCACAAGAGAGATAAAGACAACTTTTGTAGTTCGTAAGGTTTATAGTGACTGGACAAGGGGAATTGTCTAAAACTGAAGAAGGGCAGCATTAGGTTGGCCATAAAGAAGGAATTTTAGGTCTGGGCAGTCTGTGCCAGGGAAGGAATTAGGTTCGCCATAAGGAAGGAATTTTAGTCTGGGCAGTCTGTGCCAGGGCCTCACCACTCTCATCGGAGTGGTGAGGCCCTGGCACAGACTGCCCAGAGTGTTAGAGACTGGGTTGGATGGGGCTCTGGGAGATCTGAGTGACCAGTGCTAGATGTCCCTTCATCTTCGGTTGTACTGATGAGATTATCTTTGAAGGTCCTTTCCCCACCCAAAACACTCTAAGGATCTATGATTTCAGGCAGAGTGCCGAGTGCTGACAACCACAGAGGATGAGGTGAGGAGCTGCTTACTGTTGTAGTAGGCAAACTGCAGATAGTTGAAGTGCGAGGGCAGGAAATCCTCCAGAGGCTTCTCCTGGCCAGGCTGGGAGGCCAGCTCTGTGACACAGCCCTGCTTGCAGCTTAGCACTTGCATGGAGTGATCTGGCAGAGAAAAATGCCATGCTCAGTCACCCACGGGCTGATGGGCAGGACCCTGAGGGGTATTCAATCTCCTGCTCATACTGGGGTTGTTGCAAGCTTTTTGGTGGTGGAAAACCCTCAGGGATGGGGGTCGTCCACCTCAGAGTTGACTAGTGTGGGGTTGTGGTGCTCTCTCAGGACGGACTAGCCATCATCAGCCTCCCATCACATCCTGGTGACCGTCTACTGGTCTCTCTTCTGTCTTTCCATGTTCCCCTGGAATTAGGAGAATTCCTGGGCATCAGTCCCAGTGCTAAGTGCAGGTAAACACCTCCTGCCATTTACTGGCCACACCTTCCCTAGTGAAAGCTAGGATGGGGTTTCCAGTCTTCAGGGACCCCCTACCCCCACCCCAGGTCTTTGTGGACCAACCTCCTGAGAATCATACTCAACTCTTGTGACAGGACACAGAAGGCATGGCTCCCACCTGTAATGGCCTGGAAAAGGTCTGCATTGTACTCAAGGTAGTTGTAGCCCTCGTAGTCATACGGTCCCTCGCAGAGAGCGCGGCATTCAGTGTCTGCCACAAAATACTCCTCCAGCGCCTTCTCCAGGTGCAGGATGGCAGCAGCTGGCTGGTCCTCTGTGTAAAACCGGATGCCCAGCTGAAACTCGCTCTACAGAAGGATGAGAAACGATGAGGGGATCTCAGTGCTTCACCCCCCGTGATGGGTCATCTCATCCCCAGCACAATGGCACCTCACGAGCTCTCTGAGCTAGCAGCTGTGGTGTGATTGCCCGGGGTTGCACAGCGGACAGGGACTTTGGGAGGGGAGGTTCTCACCAGGTGGGGTTTGGCCTCCAGGTCAGTGAAGTCATCCTCGTGGACTCCCACCATGGCCTGGTAGTACTCCAGGTTTTGCCTCATCTCCTGGTGCCCGGGGTTGGCCACGAAGAAAGTGTGAGCGGCCGCCGCCGCCTGCGCTGGCCGGTTCATCTGGGTGGGACGAGGGTGAGACAGCGCGGATCCCATGCAGAGCGTAGTGGACACCCGTCCCCTGAGCATCCCCGTAGCCGGGGCGGAGGGCGGTGACAGGGGCGGCTCCGGCGAGCTCCGACGTGGCACTGATGGGGGGGCGCGAAGGCGGGGGGGCAAGGCCGAGACTGCCGGCCTGTAACCCTACTCCGCCGGGGCAGACACCGAACCCTCCCGGCGTCCCGGGACCGGGATCGCCACCGGCCGGTTCACCCGGTCCCACCCATCCATCCTCCCGCCTGATTCTGGGATCCTCCGTGCATCCCCTCCGTCCCGAAACCCGTCGTAGCGGGACACCCCTTCCCTTCCCTTCCCTTCCCTTCCCTTCCCTTCCCTTCCCTTCCCTTCCCAAACCTTCCCAAACCTTCCCAAACCTTCCCTTCCCTGCCGCCGGTGCCGCACCTTGAAATAGGCCACCTGGAGGTAGTTGTAGGGGCTGCGCCGGCTGAACTCCCGGTCCAGCTCCTCACCCAGGCGGTATCGGGAGGGCGCAGCGGGCCCGCAGCCCCGCAGGCAGGCGGCGCGGCGAAGCAGCGCCCGAAAGAACCACAAGTCCCGGAGCACCGGGTCGGGGTGGGACTCGGCCGCCTCCGCCGGCCCCGCTGTGGCGTTGGCGCAGCGCAGGCGGCACTGCATCAGACGGGAGCGCACAGCGGCCCGCGCCCGCAGCGCCCGCTCCATCTGCAGCACTACGGTGGGCCAGTCCCCCCGCGCGTACGCCTCGGCACCGGCGGCGAACAGCGCATCCGGGGACTGGGCGGGCAACGGCGGGTCGCCCAGTGCTATGGTCGGGACCGGGACCGGTTCCGGTGGCGTGGCCGCCCGCGCCAGCAGCACCATCAGCAGCGGCAGCAGCAGCAGGAGAAGTGGCGGCGACAGCGCCATGTCCGAACACCGGCCGAACCGCAGCATCAGCCACCCCGGGCACCGGAGCGATACTAACTCCGCCCCCTCCGCCCCGCCTGCCGGCCAATCAGCGACAGCAGAGCCCCGCCATGGTCGCACCCCTCACCGTGCGTGCGGACGCCTCAGCGGAAGCCTCTCCACCGGGCGGAAGTGGTGGGTCGTGGCTGTCCATGGCGGAGGGCGGCTCGGAGCCTGGGGATGACGGCGACGGCCCCGGTCCCGGTCCTGGGCTGGCCCTGGTCGAGGGCAGCGCCGGCCGCGCCGGCCGCGTCGGGGACCCCGGTGACCTAGTGGCCCTGGCCCAGCAGGTGCAGCAGGTGAGGGCCGGGTCCCAGCGGCGGGGCTGCAGGGGCAGGGCTGGGCTCGCTGTCCGCTGCTTCCCGGGCGTCTCCGGGGCCTTCTCAGGCGGCGGCGGCCTTGGTGCCTCCCAGCACGTCCCGCTGCTTTCCGGTGGCCCCGGCGGCTTCCTGGTGTGTCCTGTGCTGATTTCGGCAATCTCCCACTGTCTCCTCCCAGTATGTCGCAGTGCCCCGCCAGGATCTTCCCGAGTTCCCACGTTGTTGGTGTCTCCAGAACCTGTCATTGCACTTCAGTGCTTCCCACTGTGCCTTGCTGCCCCACAGTGACTCAGAGCATCCCACTGAAGTCCCATTCCAGTATGCCCTGCTGCCTCCCAGTATATCCCCCTATATATAGTTCACAGCAGCATGTACGGATGCTTCCCACTACCATACTGCCAGTCCATCCTAGCACCCTTGATATGTTCTATGACTTTTTCAGTGATTCTCAGTCCATCCTGCCTCTCAGTCCTCCCCAGGTTTTCCTGATATGTTCTACTGGTCCTCCCAGTGCACTCCAGTATGTTATACTATTCCTCCAGTGCCTCATAGTACATCCTACTGATCTCTGGTGATGTTCCTCAGAGCTTCTCAGTTCACCTAAAAGCTCAGTGTATGTCCTACTGCCTGCTCCCTTTGTAGCCCACTACCTCCCAGTCCAACCCATTGCCTCCCAGTATGTCCTGCTGCTCCCTCTCACTGCCCCTCAGCCTATCCAGACAGCTCCTGGTCCTTGCTCCTGCCTAGGGGTGCCAGGACAGCTCCTGCATCCCCCAACTCTGTGGATGCCTTGAGCTTGACCACAGCTGGCTCAGCACAGTCCAGAGGGCTGTCGTTCTTCCTGTTCTGACTTGCCCTAATTTTCTCTCCCAGGCCAATGACTTTGTCCGAGCAAATGCCTGCAGCAAACTGACAGTCATCGCTGAGCAGATCCGGCACCTGCAGGAGCAGGCGCGGAAGGTGAGTAAGGATTGGCAGAAGGCTCATTGCCTTGGGAGATGAGCATCTGCTGCCGCTGCTGGGCATTTGGGAAGGGCTGTGGCCTACATGTGAATTGGGGCTAGGAGCTGAGCAGAGAAGATTTAGTGGAAAAATAAGGAGGTTTATTGTCCAATGTCAAGGGGGATGGGAGAGGGTAGATTTTTGTGCTTTCCCTGCGTCCTCAGCAAACCAGGAAGGACTTTATGAATAAAGTAGGGGAGTAAGGGCAGGAGGTCCAAAACAGCTCGCGGGTATCAGGACAGAAAGAGATGACTCTGGTTTTGGGACTGGTGATTTGTGTGTGCACTGTGCTCTTGGAAGGATCTGATGAAGTGATGATGTGGCCCTAGCTGGATCTGAGGCCCTGGGGTAAAGTGGTGCACTTCAATGGATTCCTCTGTGAGCGACTAGTGCTTTCAGGGCCTGGAGCACACTCGCTATGATAGCTGACAGCAGAGGCAAAGGACAGGTCTTTGTATGGAAATCCAGGGACAGTCTATCAAGTCTGAAAGGGAATCCAGGGACAAGGACAAACTTGGACTCAGGGCACAGGGTTTTATATGGTGAAAAAGGGGTGGCTCTGAGGGTCAAGGTCCAATGGGAACAAGTGAAAATGGGGCAGAGGAGGGGCAGCCAACCAGGGGAACCAATAGGGTAACATGGGTGGAACACTGAATCAAACTGAGACCAATGGGGGATCAGGAGAGGGAAGAACATTTTAGGGAACATACAAATAATGGTGAATAGGGGCTGAACTGGGGTGGAGCAACTGTATGAACCAATGGAACTTAAGATATTAACATGTGCTTGCAAAGGCCTATGCGAGTGAGGCACTTCTCACCCTAACCTAGGAGGGGTGTTTCTCCTTGCCTGCTTCTGCCTCCGGGCAGTTTAAAGGGTGACAGTTCTAGTGGTTGGTTCTCAGGCCTCCCTACTGGGAAAGATCAGTTCTCCATCTAGTGATAAGCTTGGTTTCACATTTATCTGGATGGATTTGCAGGAGTGGGTGATCTCAGGAGAGGGACACAGCAGGGCTTGGCTGTGTTCATCCGTCTAGCCTTCCACTCTTCATAGTAAAATCAGGAGCCAGAGTGGGGAACGATCTGCCAGTCATTGCAACTGGCCCACTGCCATTGAGGCCATTACGTTATGTAATCATTAACTGGTGGAGCTGGAGCAGTCAGGTGGTAGAACTGGGGAGATGAATTCTCCTTTGTTTGCTGCCCCTTCCTTTTCAAGGCACAGCAGGAAGGCCTGTCTTTGGTTGCAAATGCAAGTTGTGGCTGGGGGTATGTATTCCATTACCATCTGTTAGAGGTGGGGCAGTTATCTTCTGTTAATTGGGCCACCTGTTAAAACCAGGTGGGGCAGTTTTCCTTATCTTTTCCATGACCCATCCTCCTTCCCGGGAGATCTCTTCTGTCAATGGGCATTGAGTGTCCCTGCATGACTGATAAAGTTATCATCATCCCATTGGGAGATGCTCTGCCCAGGGGGAGGAGCCAAGCATTCCTACCTGAATATAATCTGAGATTTGGAACACCACAGTCAGCCTTTTCCCACTTGATTCCCAGAGGAGCAGCTTTCTTTTCCACTGGATTCCCAGAGAAATACCAGGCCCATTTACATCACCCCTGGACCTTCAGATGAAAACTCCACCCTTCTACAGGATCACTGCTTCTACAGAACCACAGCTGGTACTGCAGGAGGACTGCAGCCATTATTTAATCAGACTGCTACCAACAGCCTGACCAACAGGGTGTGAGGTCATATTTCTGACTCTGTCAGTGTTGTTTTGTATTACTGCATTTTTATTTTAATTTTTTTTCCTAATAAAGAACTGTTATTGCTACTCCTGTATCTTTGCCTCAGAGCCCTCTTAATTTCAAAACTATAACAGTTCGGAGGGAGGAGGTTTACTTTTCCATTTCAAGAGAGGCTCCTGTCTTCCTTAGCAGACAACTGTCTTTTCAAACCAAGACAAGGCCCCAGTCCAGCAGCTGTGTGTGGAGATGAGGAATAAGCCCAACATGTGGTGGTGTCAAGTATAGAGATGAATCTGGAGTGAGATGCAGAGGTATCTCCACCGCTGTGGAGAGGTTGTCTGAAGTCCTTCTGACAGGGAATAATTGGAGAAAACTATCTCTTTGGAAAACATCTCCTTCCTGTGTGGCAGGGAGATCAAGGCCTTGTGACCCATAGGTCAAGTGATGTGTCTTGGGCCATGGCTGAGAGGCAATAGCATGTTGTCATTTTATTTCAAGTGTAAAGATGTTTTGTTATTCCAGGTCTTAGATGAAGCTAACAGGGATGCTGATCTGAACCACGTGGCCTGCAACCTTGTGAAGAAGCCAGGAAACGTTTACTACATGTACAGGCGGGAGAGTGGGCAGCGGTATTTCTCCATCCTGTCTCCTAAGGTGGGTGGTTACAGGCCATGAAGAAGCAGGGAGGGGAAAAAAGTAGTGTTTCTGGTGCTTGGGAACATAGGAAGCTCAGGCAAAAGCACCAGCTTGATGGGGGCATTTGTTTGTCCCTACTCAGGTTTGGTGTTTGCCCTTGCTCTGGGTTAGTCTGCTGGAGCCAGAGCCATCTTACAGAGTTCTCTGGCTCTTGATGGAGAATGGCAAGAAGCCCTTTGGGGCATGGATCTGAATTTTGTCTTTTGGTACCTGTGGTTCTTTGTCTGGAAGTAAAGAACTGCCAACGTGCCCTGAGCCTTCGCTGGCTGGTGTGGCTGCCTGGCAGGACAGTCTCTTAGGTACTTCAGCCCAGAAACTGAGTTTGCCTGCAGCTGAGGTGATGTTCTTAGAGATCTCCTTCCAGACTACCCATTTTCTTACATGCAGGGTGAAGGCTTCAGGGCAGGTCAGGGAGATCTTGTGTCCACAAGCCTTCCTCTGTCAGTAGTGCTGGAGCTTGACCTGATCTTGGACTTGAGGTAGCTGAGCTTATTTTTAGGTTAGGAAATGGTATGGTTGTGTAGCTGGGACTGCTTCAAAGGTAGTAGGGCTTAAGGACAGCACAGCCCAGCTCCAAGGGAAACTGAACACTGATGGAATCTCTCTTTTCTCCACCAGGAATGGGGTACCACTCCCCATGAATTTCTTGGTGCCTATAAGCTCCAGCATGACATGTCCTGGACTCCGTTTGAGGACATAGAGAGACGAGATGCTGAAATAACTGTCCTGGAGAAGCTGCTGAACCAGCAGGCAGCACTGCCCCTGTGCATGGAGCCCAACTTCCAGGGCCTGACCAAGTCACACAAGTGACCCCACAGGACCTCCTGAGCAGAGTCCCTGAGTGAGGGGACACAGTGCTTGTATGCTGCCAAAGGCGAGGTGGAAAGAGACCAAGAAACAAAAATGCTGATTGTTTTTGTGCTTTAAGGAGACTAATGCTGCATTCAGTCTTACTGGATTTTATAGTAATTGAATAATTTACTTTATTGACCTATGCCAAGCTATACCAGGAGGTGTCAGTTCCAAGAGTGCTTGGAGCAAAAAGCAGAAATGCTTGGGGTAGATGTGCTTATGTTGTAAAATAATATCTCGTATCTGCCTGGCTCTGGTGTACCTCACTGCGAGTGCGTCAGGTAATGATCTCAGGGCTGGATTTTCCCCCTTATTAAAATACACATGTCTAAAGAGCTCTGTGGCCTGGGAAGAGTAATGTGCAAAAGCCTGTGCAAAGGGTCTGTTGTGATGAGTCTTCTGGTCTCTGTCCTAACTGGTCTGAATCCCTGAGCTGGGAACATAGGGTGACCTGAAGCTCTTTTCTCTGGAAAGAGCATTCTCAAAAGTGCCATGCAGACTTCAGGTGCTCTTCAGATGACGTGTGTTTTACATCCTCAGCATTCCCCCTTGGATGTGAGTGCATGAGCTGCCAGGTAGAAGCAGGATACTGGATGACTTTATGCCAGAGCAGTGCGGAGAGTAAAATAAATCGACCGTTATCTCACATACACCACCAAGACAGGCCCTGTGTTCTTCC